CTAAGTCTCAAAGAACCTTGAGGAAGAGGGGACAGTCATATTGTAAGAGTCAGAGGACTAGGAAGTCTGCTGTGCATCTCCTGGAAATGACAGGAAGTCACATCCATGAAACAACAATGTGGTTACTTAAACAAGATCTCAACAACGACATTATCGATAGACATGATAACATGGTCAGGGAAATCTCACAAGACTCCATCTCCAGGTGAAGTGCTGTAGGCAATTAATGACTGCTGAGAGAGAGAAAATTAGTCTTCACTAGGGATGAGTCCCTTAATTGCTTGTCCAGTTCCAAATGGTCAGCACTGTAAACATATACAAATGAGCCACACTAAACAGACTCAGCAGGTTGTTTTTATACATTTATATTTATATGTGTGTAACAATAATAATTAAAAGGAGGCCATGATATTGAGATGGAGTGGGGACATGGGGGGTATTGGAGGGAGGAGAGGAAGGGGATGATGTAATTTTATTTTAATTACAAATACAAATAAAAAGATGGAAACCTTGAGCTTTAGAGCTACATGATCTCTTGTTTCCTGGTTGTGTCAGAGATTTATTATGCAACCTTGGGTGAATCAGTTATCATTTGGGGCATGGTTTCTTCACTTGTGATAGAGCTATCCTCACAGGGCTGAGGAGTGGATGATATCAGCTAATGTGGGCAAAGTACTTAGAAAAGTAAACATTAGCTATTATTGTCTGATGTAAGCTTTTTCTTTGATTTTTTTGTTTGTTTTTGTGTTTCGAGATAGGGTTTTTCTGTGTAATTTTGGTGCCTTTCCTGGATCTTGCTCTGTAGAACAGGCTGGCCTCAAACTCACAGAGATCTGCCTGGCTCTGACTCCCGAATGCTGGGATTAAAGGTGCATGCCACCACCACCTGGCTATTTTATGTAAGCTTTGTTGGTATAGGGTGCATGTGTGTGCCTGTACCTGTGATTGTGTGGTCCGCCACACTTCCCCAAACTTCCAGTTGAGGAAAAAAAATGTAATTTCTAGAACTCAAGGCCACAATGTTGTGTGACTTCTATACGTTCTTCTTATTTGTTAGTGCTCCATCCTATACTTAGGAGCTCTTGGATCCTGGTGAGGCTAGAGGACTTGGGAGATCCTAAGTGATAAATAAGATCGGAGTAATGATAAAGAAATAGGTGTCAGGAACTTCCTGATGTGGAGAGAGGTTAAGAGAGGCAAATAGTATTGAAAAGATCTTACAATTGGATAAGCAGGCATTTTAACTTCTTAGGTCAATTCTGCTCAATTTCTCTTTTACATGGATGAAGAGACAAGTCTAGGAATACCAGAGACCACATACTTTCCATTCCTCATGTCATATCTTCACTTTTTTTTTCAGAGAAAGCAAATTGTAGTAATGGTCATGGATATTAAGTCTGACTGAGATACTCAGTTCAAGGTTGTTTAACTTTATAATCCCTATCACAATTTGTAATTCAAAAGCTATGCTTTCATTAAAAATTCCCCGCCCCCCTGTGTGTCTGTGCATATGCCACTTGTAGCTGGGTGCCTTTGGAGGCCAAAGAACAACATTGGATCCCCCTGGAGATAGATTTACAGGCAGTTATGGGCTACTAGGTGTGGGTGCTGGGAATCAAGTCCAGAACTTCTGAAAGTGTAGCAAGTGTTCTGAACTGCTGACCCACATCTACAGCCCCAACAGCTTTTTGAAAAAAAAAAAAGTACCTTTTATTGATTTTTTTTTTTTTTTTTACAATCCCATACATGTATATCATGCATCTTGATTGTACACGTCCCAACTCCTCCCTGCTCCCTCTTAGGCATTCCTAATACATCTCCTCCCCCTTCATCTCCTATTATTTTTACTATTGTTGTTAATAACTCACCGAGTGCAATTACTGCTGCCTCTGAGCATGTTGACTGATATGGTGCTAATTTTTTTAGAGTCTCTCCCTCACTAGAGATGAGGGGAAAGATTGAGATTCTGTTCTACTTAGTACTTGGCACATGCAGGCTTCTCCATGCCCAGAACCCAGCCGGCATCCCCTCTCAGAGGGAGAAAGAGGAATGTGAGTCAAGAGGACACTAAGGTGTTGGTGGGTGGGATCACCCATTTCTAGTTTCCCAACTGAAAGAGTCACAGCGACTACACTCAAGGAAGGTTAGAGGAGAGTAGGTTACCCTGCAGCCGTCAACAGCTTAACCTGTTCATGTAAACCCCAAGTCTTCCAGGTTCTTTTCAGAAGCCAATGCCCTGTGAAAATTCATTCTGACCTTCCTCTAAAGCATATTTGCTAAGATGGTCTGATTTCTAGGCCTGACTACTGGTCATTCGTACTTTCCTTCCATTCTCTTTTCCTTTGAATATATGAAAACAACAGATTCACTAGGAAGTATGGGGCCTTACGCTCATGGCCATCTACCTGCCCTGCACATCACAGGACATGGCCAGAGCACTTAGAATCCATGCCAACAGCCATCACCTGGTCAATGTGTAGGACATGTACAGGTTCTAACCCATGTACCAGGTCTTTCTCTGCAGAGGAAAAACAGAATACATGGTCTTGGTGCTATTTAAACATTTTTATTAAATGTACTTTGTGGGTGTGTCTGACTGTGCTATCACATGCATGTGGAGGTCAGAAGACACGCTGCAGGAGTTAGTTCTCCCCTTCTACCATGTGGGTCCCAGGGTCAAACACACCTTGTCAGGTGTTGGCAGCAAGCACCTTTACCAGCTGAGCCATCTCACCCACCAATGAGCCTCAACTTGGTGGTTTGTGGATTTTTCCTCCTCCTAAAAGGGGTTGGATCTAGACATCATGCATGATGCTCAAATGCTCTACCACTGAGCTATATTCCCCAGCAGCCTGTGTGCTCTTCACTTCCATAGAATGGAATTATATGTAAGGAAAACATGGAGATGCAATACTGTATATTAAAGTAATGCTCCCGAACACCTGGACTCTCCCATCTCCTGACTTCCTTATTGAAGTGACATGTACTTTTTAAATACAGGGTCTCACACTGTAGCCCAAGTTAGCTAACTTAAACTTCCTATGTAGACAACATGGCCTTGAACTTCTGGTCTTCCAGTCTCTACCCCTGGAGTGCAGGGATTAGAACCACCACCAGACCCTGTTATGTGGTGTTGATGATCCAGACCAGGTCTTTGTACATACCAGACAAGTACTCTCTCAGGTGAGCTACATCCCCACCCCAGAGCACACACTGTCCTTATTTTTAATTAACACATTTTGTCGTCTGACAACGTTACACGTGTATCTGAGGCATCCTGACTAATCCCCCACTCTCTCTCCCTTCACTCCCACCCTCGTCAGCCTCACTTCTTCCCTGCAAATCTCTTTCCCATATTCGTGATTTGTTTGTGTCCTGCAGACTTTGACTAGTGCCACCTGTGTGACTGTGGGTTTAGAACTGTCCGTTAGAGCCTGTGGGGTCACCACCCACCAGTGGGCACACAACTGAATACAAGGCCTCCCTCTCTCCCAGAACCTGCTAGGTGTCAATAGTTCAGCAGGAAGTGGTGAGGTCTGTCTCCTTCTCACGATGACCCGTCACAGAGTGGCAGAGGTTGAATTTCGGTGGGTAGAAGGAGTAGAGGAATTTGGGTTTTGTTGGTGTTGTTTTTTTTCCCCCAAAACAGGGTCTCATGTACCCCAGACTGGTCTCAAACTCTCTACATAGCTTTGAATTTTCTCTTTGAACTTCTGACCCCCATGCCTATACTACTTGAGTTCTGGGATTACCAATTATGCGGTGCTGGGGATGGAGCCAGGGCTTTGTGAGTGCTAAGCTGTCGCTCTACCATCTGATTCTCATCACTGCTCATAGTTTTTTTTTTTCTCAAACAACAAACAACCATATATCTGCGGTCCCAAATAAAAATAAAAACTTTAACCAATATATCAGCTTTATTAGTATGCACAATTCACACACTGCATGATTTACCCATTTACAGTGTAATTTTCTTTTCTTTTGGTTTTTTTAAGACAGGGTTTCTCTGTGCAACAGCCATGGAACTCTCTGTAGACCAGGATGGTCTTGAATTCACTGAGACCCACCTGCCTCTGCCTCCTGAGTGCTGGGACTAAAGGTATGTGCCACTACCACCTGGTGTACAGTGTAATTTTCAATAATTTTAGATATGGTTCTACAGAAGTTACAGTCAGTGACTTTTAGAACATCTCATCACTCCAAAACAACTCCCCTAACAGTTACAAGCAACTGATCAGAGGGATTTTCACACACACCCCACTTCATATTAGTTTTCTATATAGTCTTTGGTTGTCAGGGGATACTTGCAGTCTTGAGTCTCGTTTCCTGACTCTGTAAAGCATGACCTCATTGAGCCATGCTGAGCAGTTGGTCCGTTGGGACATAATAGAAACTGCCACCTCTCCCAGCTCAACTTGACTGGTCTGAATGATGACTCTATTACATAGTGGTGACTACTGCCCAGAACAGTCTTATAATCTAGTAAAGGGTATACAGGAAGAGCCTCAGTGGTGAGCTAGGGGGAAAGGAGATGATGTATGTGTGGAAGTCTTACCTTGGGAGATATGACTTCATTTGTTAGGGACACAGGTGAGGATAGATTCTAACAGATTGTTATTGTTTTGCTGAGTTGAGTTGTCAAAAATGACAAAATGTCTATAAAGGAGTCATAAGGACATTCTGTAAAGGTCTGCATGCAGATGACACAATTTTTGCTTCATTTCATATATTTCTTGAATGAAGCCAGCCTTGATTAGAGGACATTTAATGTCAATGAATTTGTTTGAATTTCTGATAAAAAAAACAAAAACAAAGAACCTTTGGTCGTCCTGAAATGACATCAATGTTTATTGAATCCACACAGAATGTTAACACACAGGAGGTCAAAACAGAGTGTGCATGAACTTTCTGATCTGCCAAAGTGAAGAGGATACCAAAGTCCAAGTGGCTGGCGCTCTGGCCCCATCATCTTCCCAGGGTATAAACACTGCAGGCTGCACACACTTGCACACTTCAGCACTGTTGGGCAGAAGGGAAGCCCTGCAGAGGGTAGCACACACAGCTGGAGGGAGGACACAGCGGGGTGCACTGCTGACAGACAAGCCAGGATGGACCTGACTTCAGTTCTCTCCCTGGAAACCTGGGTCCTCCTGGCAATCAGTCTGGTGCTTTTATACCGGTGAGTAACCACCAAAGATCCTTTCCCACCATGTCCTCGGGATGGGGGTAATACTCAGACCTATATTCTGTCTGCAAGGTCAAAAGTGGTATCAGAAGCAGGGGCTGGAGAGATGTCTCAGTGTTTAAGAGCACTGACTGCTCTTCTAGAGGACTCAGGTTTGAATCCTGCCATCCACATGTGGCTCACAATCATCTGTAACTACAGTTTCATGGGATCTGACGCCCTCCACAGGCACTATAATAAAACTTTAGAAAGTGAGCAGAAGATGAAATTAACTCTTGTAAAAACATTTTAATTACATGTTTTTATTTATAGGGGCTACAGGCAGTATATGAGACGTGTGTGTGTGTGTGTGTGTGTGTGTGTGTGTGTGTGTGTGTGTGTGCATATGTAGACAACTTTGGGGATTCAGTTCTCTCCTATCACATGGCTCCTGGGGTTCAAACTCAGATTGTCAACACTGATAGCCAGTGCCTTTACCTGTGGAGTCATCTTGAAGGCACAAAATGAAGGGACAACTGAGTTCATTTTGCATTTTTTGGCATAAGGAGGGGTCAAGCCAGAGCCTGTATGTGCTAGTCAAGCACTCTACTACTAACTATATAGCCCAGTTATGCTAACTCTTAAAGTTCATATTGACAGTGTGCAGATCTGCTGGGCACACCCACATGTACTTTCAGCTCCCTTTTGCTGAGGGTGAGGAGGTTTTCTGATAAGATTTACTCTGGCTATGACCTGATTGACTTTTCAGGTTACCCCGAGATCCACCAGAACTCAGTAGAAACAGATATGAACAGAGGGCTGCCATGCACACTGGACCCCTCAGCCTTTCCCTAAGCTCTCTGGAAACTGGAGGGACAGCCAAGCTGTTTGTTTTCCTCATATTAGGGTGTCGGTCATGTTTATCTCCTCTCTTCTGTGTGTGGTCACAAGGCTTTCTGTTTCACTTTATAGACTCGGGACCCATAAACATGACATCTTTAAGAAACATGGAATTCCTGGGCCCAAGCCTCTGCCATTCGTAGGAACTCTGCTGAGTTACTACAAGGTGAGTGTTGATTGAACTCCCAATATGGCTTCCCTTGATGGCCAATAATGGTTTAGTTCTATTAAAGGAAGGTATCAGTTGTCCTGCCCTGTCACTCTCCCTTATTCCACTGAGCCATCTGGCTGGTACCACTAAATGTTACCAAAGAACTTTTTTCTGTCAGAAACAGTAGACCTCCTTTTTATGGGATTTGAGGGTTTGGTTCCCTGGCTACAAAAGGGTTGCTACATACAGGGCAATAAATGGATTTCACACTATTTCTGTTTCCAGGGTACATGGAAATTCGATGTCGAGTGCTATAAAAAGTATGGGAAAATATGGGGGTGAGTATTCTGGAAAGTTCCATGGAGTTGATCTTTTTAGGAGGATGTGCTCTACATGTGCAAGGACAATGCCAGCCCAGGACTGTAGTCATGCACCTCTCTGTTGTAAGGGTGATGCCATGTGTCAGTAAGTGCTATGGTTCCCAGGTCTAACTATCTTCAGAACATTGAACACTGTGGCTTTTTGACAGGCTTTGGTGTTCCATAGACTCTGGGCCTTGTGTTTTGCTGCTTTGCTTTGTTTTTGGGACATGGTTTCTCTGTGTAACAGCTCTGGTTGTCCTTGAACTTACTCAGTAGACCAGACTGACCTTGAACTCACAGAGATCTACCTGCTTCGGCTTCCTGAGTTTTGGAATTGAAGTTGTGAGCTACCACCACCCCCTGCCAAGACTTCTGACAGAAGAGTATATCATTGTGTCCTGTGTAACTGAACAGACTTTGGAGATCCAATGTATTTAAAATCCAGTGTTCTTCCTTGGATCTACATCCTCAATGGTCCTGTAAAGCAGCTGAGTCGGCAGCAGGAACTGTTACCTGTCATTGATGTTGGAGTTTGGGTAGAGCTTTGGAGTAGGTGTCATCATTGCCAGGAGACACAAACAAGTGGGAGGAGGCTCTGGCTCTTCCTGCCTCTTCATCTCTTCTCCTCCATCCTTAGGAACCACAGGCCTGAACACAGGGTCTGCTGAGTTGACATAGCCCATAAAGACCATGTCATTCAATGCCTGCAGCAGGCTTTGCTGTCTGTCCAATGGCCCTGTGTGAATGTCTCCTGGAAATATTATTGCTTGTCAACACTTGATAGTTTTTTCTCAACTTTTCATTGAACTAATACCTTATTTATTCATCCATTTATTGTGTTTTTTAAAAACTGGATCCCTTTAAATAGCACTGCCTGTCCAGGAACTCAAGATGCAGACCAGCTTTGCTTTGAACTTAGACATCCACCTGCTTCTGCCTTCCAAGTGCTGGGATTAAAAGTGTGTGCCACTACACCTGGCCCTAATATCATTTTTATATGAAACATTTTGCTTTCATTTTTCATTAGTTTTATGTGTCTCTGTCCGTACCAATGAATTTAATTGGACTTACTTACAGAAGCATGAGAGAGCAAGAGGTTATTTACAGGAGTGTGAGGTTCACCACTGACATAGACTTCTTGCCCTCCCCCTCAACTGTTTCCTTTTTCCTTTTTTGTTATACTTGTTTATTTATCAGAGAGGGCATGTGTTCCCTGGCGCACATGTAAATGTCAGAGGACAACATGTGGCAGTCAGTTCTCCATTTCACCGTGTAGACCCCAGGGGCTGATCTGGTGTTCATGGGGCCGTTTTCCTCCCCATTCTAGGGTTAGCTGTGTGTAAATCCTCAGGCAGGCTCAGGCCCCTGAGCTTCCTGCTGCAGTGTTGACAGTCAAATCACCCACAGGGCCTGTGGAGGTCATCCCAGCTGCAGTGAGTTCCAGACCAGGGAAGACAGCACTTTGCAGCTCTCCTCTCCCTGCCTGGCTCTTATGTTCTTTCTGCCCTGCCTGCCACACTTTCTGAGTCTTGGGGAAGTTGGTAATGGCACCTCATTTAAATTTGTATTTTCATTTGCTTTTTCAGCTCAATGTATCAAAACAAGGGCCTGGTACACTCTAGGTAGTCATTCTACACTGAGCTACATCTGAAGCTCAGAGACTGAAATATCTTATTATAATTTTTTTCATTTAAAATTTTAATGTTTTAAGGATTTATTTTTTACTTTACAATATTTAATTTTAACTTTAATATCGTATCTTAAGCATTTAATTATGAATTTTTACTTCAATATTTTATTTTTAAATATCTATATCTATTAATTTTAAATATGTGTACGTGCATGTGTGTGTGTCTCTGCACATGAGTGCTGATGGTCATGGAGGCCAGAGGCATTGGATCCTCCTGGAGCTGGAGTTACAGGTGATTGTGAGCCATGCAACTTGGGTGCTAGGAAGCAAACTCAGGTTGTATGCAGGAACAATAGTGCTCTTCACTGTGGTGCCATCTCTCCAGCCACTTACAGTGTTTTCAATTTGCAAAAATCACAGAAAATAGTATTAGCAACTGTCACATATACACAACTAGACTTAAAAATTCCACGTGTGATTCTTAATTTTGATGTTTTTAACTGTTTTGTCTTTAAGTGACTCATAGTGTCTTGATTGACATAACCTATCACTTTACAAAGACTCCACTGGATCTAGGGTCAGACTCCCTAAGTTGGACTGGGACCTCCTGTGACAACCTGTTGTTGTATAACCAGAGTGAGGGTCACGTAACATGAGAATCAAAGTCTGGACTTGGGGCTCCCACTTCAGGACCTGGCTTGGGTTAATCAGCTGTTTTCCCCACACAGGTTGTTTGATGGTCATACACCTGTGTTAGCTATCGCAGACACAGAGATGATAAAGAATATACTAGTGAAGGAATGCTATTCTGTCTTCACAAACAGACGGGTGAGTAACTTTTTTCCTTCCTTCCTTCCTTCCTTCCTTCCTTCCTTCCTTCCTTCCTTCCTTCCTTCCTTCCTTCCTTCCTTCCTTTCTTTTCGAGACAGGATTTCTCTGTGTAGTTTTGGTGCCTGTTCTGGATCTCGCTCTGTAGACCAGACTGACTTTAAATTCACAGAGATCTGCCTGGCTCTGCCTCCCGATTGCTGGGATTAAAGGTGTGTGCCACCACCGCCTGGCCAGCTTTCTTTTTTAACTAAAAAAAAGTTGAAAGATTCATGTTTGTTATTTTTATTTATGTGTATATATGTGTGTCTATATAAGTGAATGCCACATGTGTTTAGATGCCTGTGAGGTCAGAAGAGGGTGTGAGGTGCCATGGAGCTGGTGTTCCAGGCAGTTGTGAGTGGCCTGACTGACATGTGTGCTGGGAACTGAACTTTCCTCCTCCAGTAGAGCAGCAAGTGTCTGAACAGCTGAGCCATCTCTCCAGCCTCCCCCTTGACTAATGCTAACCTTTTCATTTTAGTTATTGAATTTATTTTGTTTTGTTCATTTGTTTCTTTAGAGACAATTTTTTCTCTGTGTAACTCTGACTCTCCTGAAACCCACTCTGTAGACCAGGCTTGCCCCAACTCAGAGATCTGCCTGCCTCTACCTGCCTCTGCTTTCCAAATTCTAGGAGTAAAGGCATGTGTCACACAAACAAATATTGGGTATTTGTTTTTATTTTTTATTTTTGGTTTTTTGAAACAGGATTTCTCATGTAACCCTGGCTGTACTAGGACTCACTCTGTGGACCAGGTTGTCCTTGAAGTCACAGAGATCTGCCTGCCTCTACCTCCTGAGTGCTGGGATTAAGGGCATCACCACCACCTCTTGGTTACTTACTGAATTTTTTTTAAAGGACCATGAATTTCTGATCCTCATTCTTTTTTTTTTTTAAAGATTTTTATTTATATATTTATTATGTATCAGCATGCATGACTTCAGGCCAGAAGAGGGCACCAGATCTCATTACAGGTGGTTGTGAGTCGCCATGTGGTTGCTGGGAATTGAACTCAGGACCTCTGGAAGAGCAGTCAGTGCTCTTAACCTCTGAGCCATCTCTCCAGCCCTTACTTACTGAATTTTAAAAAATGAGATAAATATAAATTCACAGTGGCTTCCACAATAATATACATACAGGGTCTAGGTATTCATTTTGCTAATGAGAAAGTGTAAATATACTATATTATTGTAATCTAGTTGTGGATGGACACTGTTGTCATCTAGATTGTATCTCATGGGCCCTTTCTTATATCTGTGTAGTTTAGTACAGTTATTCACAGGTCTAGCTTTGTGTGGTGACAAGTACTGAGAATACAGATGACTCCTTAACCATGCATTTCCCTCTTGCTAGTCCATTAGCTACTTTGTTTGGCCTGTCTTCTTCTCTTCACCTTGTGTATCCATTTTCCTTCTCAATGGATTGTGGAGTCAGTGTTAGGTCTGATGACTATTTACCTGATCCTTCTGTGTGGGTTTGCTTGAATACACATTATACACTTTTGAGATTTGTTCTTAAACCTATGGCTTTATTTATGTTAATTTTGTGTAAGGTTCAGTGTTTTCTGTCTTTTTTAACCCATCTGTATTCCACTGACCTATCTGGGAAAACATATTAGTTCTCTCTTTCTACCCTGTGGGTCCTGGGGTTTGAACTCAGGTTGATGGGCTTGGCACAAGCACCTTTACCTGCTAGCCATCTCTTTGGCCTTCATTCAGCCTTGGGTCATTTGATGAAGTTGGCAGAAGATCTAGTTTGCAGCTGCCCTTCATCAAGTGGAAGCCATTTCCATTTCTTCCTGTTGTGCTGAGCACTTTCACATAAGGGCATGTTGGGAGATGCCACAGTAGTATAAATTATACGTATGGAAGGTAGAAGGAAGTTCCCACCAGGTATATAGAATTATGTTTTCCCTTTTATCACTGTATAAAGAAGTAAGGGAAATGGATTTTTACAGCATTATTCCTAAACAAGCAAACAGCTCTTGAACCAAACAAACCAGTGGCTAGAGAGGTGGCTTAGTGTCTGAAAGCTCTGGAAAAGGATGGGGGTTGGTTGCCTACATCCACATCCAGCGATTCACAACCACCTGTAACTCCTGCTTTAGGAGATCCAAATCCCTCCTTTGGCCTCTGAATACACTGCACACATATGTGCATATATTCATACACATACATACATATATACATACAGTACTAAAACAAATCTTGTATAAAACCAAACATCAAATGCTCTAAGTGTCTCAGGGCTAGGGAGATGGCTCCGTGGGTAAAGGACCTGAGTTAGGATCCCCAGCATCCACCTAAAAGCTGGGCATAGCAGCATGCATGTGTTGCTTCAGAGCTGTGTTTGGAACTATGTAGCTCCTAGGAGTTTATTGGCTAGCTTCTCTAGCCAAACCAGAGAATTCTAGATTCAGTGAGGGACCTGCCTTAAAAATGTAGTTATAGAAGAAGATGCCAGACCTCTGGTGTCCAAATGACCATGCATACCATCACTCTAGTCTACACACACACACACACACACACACACACACACACACACACACACACACACACACACACACCCCACAGCATCCCTTTTCACATTGCTTATGTTGTAAATACTGAGCTGGAGTACTTGTCTGATGCAAAGTTAGCTTTCTATATATCTCCAAGCCTTTTGCCATGTGCATAGCTCTGGAGAATCTGCTATATCGTTGCCCCATCTTCTTCCCACTCCCATAACTAATTTTCCAACCATAGACAGATTTATATTTAGAAGGATGTGAAATATAAAAATTTGAAAGTTCAACATGCCGCCCAGTGATCATCTGATTTCTTATAGGCTGTGAGGAAATTCTGACCACCCCCCCCTGCCCCACCCCACATCTGGCATGAGGGTTGAACCATAGTAAACAGTCAATAACTAATTTTTATATAGCGATATCCACTTAGCACTTTTGCAACCATGGAAAATTCTGGACTTACAGAAAGCCAAATTTGCATTTTTTTGGACTCTAGGAATTTGGCCCAACGGGGTTTATGAAAAAAGCCGTCTCCATGTCTAAGGATGAAGAGTGGAAGAGAATTCGAGCCTTGCTGTCTCCCACCTTCACCAGTGGAAAACTCAAAGAGGTGACTCAAAGGACTTTTAGGTGAAACGTTTATGAGACTTGAGTCCCCACACTTAACTATGGATGCCTTTGTGTTTTGTGCTTAGATGTTCCCCATCATTGAACAGTATGGAGATATTTTGGTAAAATACTTGAGAAGAGAGGCAGAGAAAGGCAAGCCTATCACCATGAAAGAGTAAGTAGTGATCCATGTACTGCGGTTCTGGGAGAGGAAGGGCAACTGGGGCAGAAGGGTCATCATCTGTGTGTCCCACATGGTCCAGCTGCTCCTTCTTCCCTTTAGACACTAGATGACAAAATATTCAGTTGAAAAGAAACATGGTCGTACCAAGGTCATGAGGGCAGGGGGAGGGTAGGAGAGGAAGATGCTTGGTTAGTACTGAGGTGATGTCACCTGTCCTGCCCAAGAATACGAATTTTCAGGCTTCTTGGTGCATGTGTTAAATTCCCATGTCTCTCTCCTCAGAGTGTTTGGGGCCTACAGCATGGATGTGATCACAAGCACGTCATTTGGTGTGAATGTTGATTCCCTCAACAACCCAAAGGACCCTTTTGTGGAAAAGGCCAGGAAGCTAATAAGACTTGATTTTTTTGACCCATTATTCATGTCAGTAGGTATGTATGATGGTTCTTCTGCCTTTTGACTCACTGCTCTTGTCTGTGGCCATGTTAGTCAGCTCTGCCTTTCTCTTCCACACTTACCAAAACTAACAGCTCTATAGGTATGTAATTTACTCCCTTAAAGGTGAACATTTTTTTTTTTTTGCATTCAAAGATCTGTAGCCCATTACTTTAGTTTTAGAACTTCATTTTTCTTTTAGACAGAGTTCCACTGTGTTGCTATAGCTGGCCTGAAAGTTGCTATGTAGACCAGGCTGGTCTTGAACTCAGAGTGATCCCCTTACCTCTGCCTCCCAAGTGCTGAGGTTAAAGGTGTATGACACCATTCCTGACTTCGATTTAGAATTCTTTTATTTATCCTTTGACAGTATCATATAGGCATACAATCTATCTTGATTATTCCTACTCATAACTCTCACCTCCCATTTCCCTCACACACCCCAACACATCTTCCTCCCAATTTATGTCCATTCCCAATGAGTCCAATCAGTGCTTCCTCCCAGGATGCTGACCAATATTATTGGCGTGATCTCATGCAGGTGGTCATTTCATGAGTGGGCCATGCCATGTCTAGGATATGGCATCTTACACCACCCCTCCCTGGATTTTACTTTATTCCCACACCCTCTTTCATGATGTTCCTTGAGCCCTGAGTGGTGGGGCTCTTGGTATAGATGTAGGGCCCAGCACTCAACAGTCATTTATTCTCAGCACTTTGATCACTTAGGACTCTGCATTAACTGATGGTTCACACGGCCCATTACCAATGTCAACTGCAGAGTACTTAGTTCTAGCCATGTTGCACATTTGCACCATCATCCTTCAAGCAGCCTTGACCTAAGCCACCACCAGTTCACTTCCTATATATTTACATATTCTGGGTATTTTATTCACATCAACGGGATCATAGACTATGTGGTTTCTGTGACAGGTGTCTGTCTTAGCACACAATTAAAGAAGCAAGCGTCACAGTCTGCTGTGTCTATGAACAAGTAATATTCCATATCTGTTGATGGACACTGAAGTTAGTTTTATATGTTTGCTATGAATTTTGCTGCCATGAGCATTTGCATACAAGGTTATGTTTGAATATTTGTTTTTATGTTTTAGGGGTATACATTCAGAATCATTGTTGTTGAGTCAAGAAGTAACTATTTTTAACATATTAAACAACCCAGCATATGTTTTCCAAAGTAGCTGCAGTTTTCTGTCTTCTAGAACTGCAGGGGAGTTCCAGGTTCTCCATGCTCTTGCCTCTTCCATGACTTTGGCCATTGCACAGTAGTGGATATGCTGTGGGCTGGCCCTGTGGTTTTGATCATTTCCCTAGTCCTAATGCAATTAAAAAACAAAGTTAGAAGTTTTAATGTCTGCTTTTTGATCATCTCTCTCCTACACAACTGAATTGCTTTAACATTTTGAAAAGATTTACATTTATTTTATGTGTATGAGTATTTCACCTGCACATATGCATGCCACAGGCATGAAGTGCCTGCCAAGGCCATAAGAGGGCATTGAATTCTCTGAATCTGGAGTTACAGAAGGTTAAGTGCAGCCATGTGAATACTGGGAATCAAACCCGTGTCTCCTGCAAGAGCAGCCAGTGCTAAGGGCTGAGTCATCACTTCAGGCCCTGTAGTAATTTTTGGGTATGTGCTGGGTACAATTAGCAGTGGTGCTTCATTTAGGGTTTTAATACTTTCTCTATCAATTACATTTCCATAACAGTTCATGTGTCCTTTTGTCTATATCCCATCCTTCATCACCTAATAGCATCCTCTCCTAGTCTCCTTTTAAGCATTATTCCATAACCACACTTATACTTGTTGACATATTTACATTTATAGGATAGATTCAGGAAGTGAGGGAGATTGT